CCCTGGCCTGTCTGGCTGCCATCTATCTTGCTTCCTCTTTGAAGGAGGTCCGTTAACCATGGCCTGACAGAGTGAAAAGAGAAGGGGAGGGACCAAATGGGGCCTGTGAAGCACCTGAGAAGTCAGGGTGACAGATGGGGACAGTGAGAGCAGAGAGGAAAATGCCAAGTCCAGAGAGTCAGGCTAAGACTAAAATCTTCATGGGCTAAACCGAGAAACCAGCTTTGGTGAGTTTAAAGGGAAATTCCATAATTTATGGGGCAGATAGGACAAGGAGAAGGAAGAGACTTGCCTCTAACAGAGAGCCCCAACCCACCTAGGGCCACTGCCCCCTAGCCTACAGAAAGAGGACATTAGGCCCCTGTCGCTGTCTTTACTTACTCCCCATACAGACCTGCTTTTTCAGTGAGGAGAATTGAACCCAGGGCCTGGGGCATACTAGGGATGTTCTCTACCAGTGAATTATGCTCCTTCATTTACTAATCCAAGTGACTCTTAGCTTCTCCCCAGTTGTCGTTTCTACCTTAGCCTGCTCAGTTTTGCCTTCTCCTTTCCTCTCTTGAGGCACAAGCGATGCCCAAGGCTGAGACCTCCCGCCACTGACCTTCTTTACTGAGAACTGGAAACTCCAGAACTCCTAGGCCTAAGGTTTTCTTCGAAAGTGATGCAAGACAGCTAACATTTAATAGGACACTCGGTTTCCCTCAGTTAATGCGTACTCAGGAAGCCCAAGGCTCACTCATGGCATAACCCTCAGAGAGCAGTGAGGTACAGTTACCCAACCTGTAACGTGGGGGAGGAACCCTGGACTGCCAGAAGAATTAATGAGAGACCTGAAGGAATGGGTATGTAACTCAGTTGCTAGAATGTTTGCCTCACTTGCACAAAGCCTCGGGTTCAATTCCCAGCACGGAGTAAACGAGTTGCTGGGAGGTGGCACACACCTGTAGTACCGGTACTCAAGAGGTGGAGGCAGGAGTTCAAGGCCAGCCTGGGCTACAGAAGAATCTGTCTTAAAAAATAATACATGCATGAATAAACAAACAAACAATTTAGCTAGCTACCATGGAAGCAAGTTTTTAAGCTAGAGTTCTGCACAGACAGTGTCACCCTTGAGGCCTTCAGAATGCAAATGGTATCTGAGAAGGGAAGGGTTAGTGTTGGGGAGAAACAGCAGGCCTGTCTTTTCTTCAGGACAACAAGCTAAATTCCAGAGCCTTCTCAGACAGGCCTTCGCGTCTCGGTAAAGCAGAGCTGACAGGCATGACCTCCCCATGGCGGTTCACCTTATTGAAGCTGTCTGGTAGGTGAGACATTTATTAACATGGATGGACTGCCCATGGAGAATGGCTGCCACCGAGGGCTTGCAGAATAAATTCCTTCCCCAGATGCAATCATTTTCTGCCTCAATGTGGAATTTGATAGCAACCCAGTGTGGAAGGAAGGGTCTAGCCTGCAGGATGACTGCGCTTCTGATATGGGGGCTATCTGTCCATGGGACTAAGGATATCATGGGTCAACTCTGCCCTGGGACTCCTGTGGTTCCTCGAGTCTGAACTGATCACTCCAAAACTCAGCTTGCCCGTCTATAAACTGAGTCAAAAACCAGCCAAGGTGATGATAAGAAAGGAGTGAGGGAGAATTTGGTAACAGCTACTGAGTCATCTCTTTAGAATGTTGGGTGGTCCCTGCACTGTGCACCTGGTAGATGTCCCTGTGTTTAAGGTAAAAACACGTAGGGAAAATCCCGGGGTAGCTACCATCAACTCTTTACAACTGACTCAAAACAACAGGTTAAAACCACAACGCTGATTGCTTCATCATTCCCATGGGCCTGAAGTCTGATGAGGACCCCGTCTTAGTGTCCCTCACGGGCTGCTGTTGCCTCTGAAAGATAGATTCTGGTTGGGCTGGGCTTCCGGGCTCACTCATGGGGAACTCACTAGGTATTAGCCTGAGGTCCTCATCAAATCCCAGTCATGAAGGCCTTTCTAAGGCAATGGATCACAGCCTGACAGCTGTTCTCCCTCAGAACAAGGGGATGTGAGCGGCATGATTATTCATATGTGCCCATTTGGCTGGGCTACAGTGCAGCTAGACTTAGTCACAGATCATTCTAGAAATTTCCGTGATACATATATGTTTTAAGATGAACATTTGTGTGGGTGGACTTCAAGTAAAACACATTAAACTTTACAATGGAGTAGGCCACAACCGATCAAATGAAGGCTTGATTAGAAAAAAGCCCGGCCTCCTCTGAGAAAGAAGGGACTCTTCTATGAAGACTCCAGCTTATCTGCCTCCCTGACCTTCACAATCACATTCCAAACTGAACTCATCACTTCCCAGCCTTCTGGTTAAGATCAAGTGCAGAGCCCAAACTCACCAAACCTCCATCCATAATCACATTAAATACTTCCTTAAGATAAATCAGCTCCCCTCTGTGGCTCTGTATCGTTTGTATGTGTGTGAAGGGTTTATGTGAATGTGAGAGTGTATGTGAATGTGTGAGTGTGTGTATGTGTGTGAATGTGAGTCTATGTGAATGTGTGTATGTGAGTATGCATGTATGTGTGTGAGTGTGTGTGGTGAGTGAATGTGAATGTGTGAGTGTGTATGGGACTATGTGAGTACGTATGTCAATGTATGAAGGTGTATGTGGGTGTGTATGTGTGTGAATATGTTGTGTGAGCATGGTCATGTGTGTATGTGTGTGTCTGTCTATATGTATGTGTGTGTATGCATGTGCCATACATGTATGTGGATAAAAGGGCAATTTGTGAGAGTTGTGTCTCTTCTTTCACCATGTAGCTTCCAGGATCCAACTCAGGCCATCAGGCTTGGTGGCAAGTGCCTTTACCTGTGAGCCATCTTAACAGCCTTCTACCATGTTTTGTGGGACAGGGTCGCAAGGTCTCTCACTGAACTTAGAAACCACTGATTCTGCCAGACTGACTACCCAGCAGGCCTCAGGAGTCCTCTTCTCTTCCCAGCACTGGGAATACAGACATGTGACACTGAGCCTGACTTTTTATGTGAGATCCCAACTCAGATCCTTACTCTGATGCTGTGCACTTGATCAGCTGGGCCTTCTCTCCAGGTCCTGGTCACAGTTTTTACAGCTGTTGTCTTCAAAGATGGAGGCCATTGGTGGACAAAGGACCTGAAGCACATGGATAGATGATAGATAGATAGATAGATAGATAGATAGATAGATAGATGATGGATATATAGATAGATGATTGATAGATAGATGATAGACAGATAGATAGATGATGGATATATAGATAGATGATTGATAGATAGATGATAGACAGACAGATAGATGATGGATATATAGATAGATGATTGATAGATGATAGACAGACAGATAGATAGATGATGGATATATAGATAGATGATTGATAGATAGATGATTGATAGATAGATAGATAGCTATAGATAGATGACAGATGGATATATAGAGAGCTGTAGATAGATACAGAGCTAAAGATAGGTCATACTTACATACATACATACATACATACACACACAGACAGATAGATAAAGCTGGTCTTTCTCCCTCCTCTGTATGCCTCTAGCTTCTCAGAGTTTGGCAGCAGAGAAAACCCCTTCCAGCCCCCACAGACCATAATGCTGAGCCCCAACGCCTCTAACACGTTTGCTTTTAACCAGTATGTCTATTGTTCTCCTGCTGTTTGCTGGTTCTTTCACATCTGAAGTGAGACCTGGCATATGAGTAGCTATGGGAAGGGGAGGCTGCAACCCCCTCTGACCCTCAGCTGCACAGAGATGGCTCTGACATGGCTGCTAGTTCTGCAGAGACTAAACCCAGCAGTGAGCTTGCAGTCTGCTCACGCACTGCGTGGATGCCTCTGTCCTTGTGGTGTGTCCTCAGGCTGGACATCCTTGTCTCCTCTACCCTCAAATCATGCTGCTGCGCCACCCCAGCCCCTCCCCGTGTCTCTCTGTCCACTCCTTGACCAGGTTCATGGGATCTTGTGTTTTTATGCCTGTGTGATAGCCTCTAAAACTCCACATTCCCAAGGTCTCTTCTGCTGTCCCCACCCCAGCCAACATCTCAGATGATGAACCCCAGAGCTGTGCTGACAGCCTCAGACTGAGCATCTACCTGAGTGGCAGCCAGCCTGTCTTCCCGGGTACTGCATAAGGGCATCAAAGTCAACAAAAGGGGAGCAGAGTGTACCTCAACTCCTTCCTCCAGGGACCCACACAGGACCCTCCTCTGTGTACGCAGACCCTCCAGTATTACACAAGCCATTAAAAACCTGGAAGTCCACTTCTCCCCGCTTGCACATTGGACGAGTTAATATCTATTTGTTTCACTTCCTGCGCGTCCAACCTTCCCCTTCCTTCTCAAACCTGTAGCCATCATTTAACGTCTTTATCATTCTATACCTGGACCAGGCAGCAGACTTCTACTGACCTTTGCCTCTCCATGTCCTCCTGGTGTCTTTCAAAGTCACTCTCTGAGCTGCGACTAGACCACGGCATCTAAAGTGTGCCTCCATCATTCCCATCCCCAGTGTGAAACTTTCCCAGCAGGCTTTTTAACAGGACATGTAAGGGCCCCCTCACAGCCCACCCTTGTCCAATCTTTGTGGCCTTCACACACTTCTCTCTCCCTGTCCAAGACAAACGGCCACTGTTCTGTCAACCCACCACACTTTCTTACTTCTATAAGGTGTTTCCTGACAGGTGCTTTTGTTCTTATCTCTGCCCCACACACCCAATTGTTTTCCCTTGTTTATCTCTATTACTCCTGTTCATTCTGTGAAACCCAACAAAGACGCCAGCTCCCCACAAAGCCTTCCAGGGTTGCATTGATTATTGCACCTACCGAACAAAGATGCATTCTCAGTAAACAGTAAGAGCTTACTTGCAAAATCCATTACATTCTGCAGGCTCAGCCTGCACACACACACGGCCCACTACCAGGACCCTTTGTACCAACATTCTGCAGTGTTCCATTACCTTACCTGGAATGTGGGAATGGCACCTTGCAGCTTTCAGGTAAAAAGAAGCCTTCATCAACTGGAATGAAAACTGCTGCTGAAGGTCATGGATAGAGTACAGATTCCGACCTAAGGGAAGATGCATAGAGTTCATATATGTAGGAGAAAGCTAAGCCACATTTTAAAATCTTAAAAGTTTGGATATTTAAAAAATGTTATACCATAAGAAATCAACAACAGGTCTTTCTTTGAATTCATTAATTATAAACTTCCTTGGAATATTGTATATATTTGGGAAAGAATGAGAATATTTTGCACAGCTGATGATTTGTTACTGACTTTCTTATTAGAATGAAAAGGGATCTTAGCAGCTACTGAGGACATAGTTGGTGTTAAGTGCTTGCTAGACTTTCCACTTGCATTGTTTCCTGTAAGCTTCTCAATAACCCCAGGAGGCAGAAATTACTATGACAATGATGACAATTACTTTGATGATTTGCTTTACAGGTATTACTCAGAAACTTCTTCCAAGTTCCAGCATTCCATCCTGTAGGGAAGCTCACAAGACTTAGGAAATAAATAAATGTCTTAGGTCTTGGAAAGTAAAAATACAAGGTTCCCATGATATCTCCCCATTCCTTCTACCCCCACCCCAGAAGAATATAGAAGCAGTAAAGAATATTGACCAGCCGAGTTCCCCTGGTGGTGGTGGTGGGGTTATGACGACTCTCCAATGAACTAAAGTGCCTAGAAGAGATTCTCCAATCTGTCATGCTGTCTGGCAGGAAGATAGGGAGCACTAGGGTTGCAGCTTTTGTGAATTGTCACCCATGCTGTGGTGAGATGTTCAGCAGCAAAGCCACTTCTTTGAGTCATCTCTGATCTTATAAGCACCCCCCCCCCCGCTATACTCCCATAGGTAACCTCAAATAAACTCAGTGGGTTGCCAAACTGGACTTCAGTGGACTCTTTAGCCTGTCATTAATTCCCTATCTGGAGTAAATAGACATGTGTGTCATGCCTCCCTCAGAAGAGTCATACAAGCACAGATGTGAGTGTCCTTGGCTTTGAAATGTTGTATCCCTTCACGAAAGCCAGGCTGCAGAGCTAAACCGCATGGTCAGATCTTGTGAAATCACAAAGAATATTAAAGACTACATTACAGTCTGCAGAGCAAGAGAGAAATCGCCTTGGTGTGTTCCTTACTTTCATAACAGAATGAGCATAGACTGGCTAATTTATAAAGAACAGAAGGTCATTTGGCACGTAGGTCTAAAAGGCGGAGGAGTCCATAAGCATGCAGTGATTTTTTGGGTGGGTGCCTGCACGGAATGATAACATGGGAGGTAAGCAAGCACGAAGGGAACAGAGGGGAAACCAGTTAAACATACCCCTTCCTCTAGAACCCAGGCTCAAGGTAAGTGACACAGAAATACGAGCATTCTTCCATCCATGGGGGCGGAGCGCTCTTAACCCAGTGATCTCTTAAAGGTTTCACTTCTTCTATTTTGTTTTTAGTTAGCATATATAAGGTGATGAAGTTACTTATGACATGTTCATGCATGTACTTACATGTAACCTTGCTCATATTTGGGTCCCTCATTACCCTCCTCCTACTTCTCACTGCCCCCTTCCTGTCATTACCATTGTGATCTCAATTGAATTCATACCTAAGCTTTAGAAAGTGTTCAAGTCATAGCAGAAATAAAATTTCATTTCATCATTGGTTACAACAGCTTGGTTGGTCAAGATCTAACCTTCACGGCAATAGTCCTTGGCATGGTCTGACTGATACAATGTAGCAAAAAGAAAGAAAGAAAGAAAGAAAGAAAGAAAGAAAGAAAGAAAGAAAGAAAGAAAGAAAGAAAGAAGTCAAACAAAAGGAAAATAAGAAAATTTGCATCTTTTACTTTTAATCTCAACTGTTATTTACATGCGTTTGTGTATACAGGTGCCAGCAGAGGCCATAAGTGGATATCAGATCCCTTACAGAGAGCTGGAAGCTGCCCATTACAGGTGCTAGAAACCAAACTCAGGTCCTCTAGAAGAGCAGCAAGTGCTCTTAACCGCTGTGCCATCTCTCCAGCACCAATGAGTAGCATTGTTCAGGCAAAATTACATCTCAGAACTAAAAATAGTCAATTCTTATTTGAAGTCCCTATACACTGGCATTAAGAAAAGTCCCACAAAAATGTACAACTGCCAATGTGCTCTTATTACTAACATTTAGCGTAGTTCAGCTTCTGCAGTTACAGTCCTTTTTCCCACCTAGAACAATTAATGTCAGTGTGTAACTGAAAATGAACGCGCTTCATATTTTTATAAGTAGATCTTTATCTGTCTCATGAGTTATTATTATTTTTTTTATTCTTAGCGATGGCTAAGCTTCTAGAAGTCAAAACATTGCCTTACATTCCACTGCCAGTTAGCTAAGTAGTATGTACAAGCAGTTCCTGGAATGTCCATCATAACTGAATATATAATGTGTCCAATAATACTAAGTACTGTCAAGAGTCAAAAAAACAGATTCAGGGGACATTCTGGTTTCCTTCTGTTGCTGTGATAAAGCACTCTGTTGAAAAGGAACTGAGGGGAGGAGTTTATTTAGCTTACACTTCCACATCACAGTCTATCACGGAGGGAAGGCAGGGCAGCTCGGGCAAGAACTTGAAGCAAAGACCGTGGAGGACCACTGCTTGCTAACTTGCTTGCAAGCTCATGCTTACTTAGCTTTCTTATACTTCCAGGACCACTCATCTAGACAAAGATGCTGCCCCAAGTGGGCAGAGCTCTCCTGCCTGAATTAACCACCAAGACAACTTCCTCCTCCTCCACACACACAGACACACACACAGCCCAGTTGGTGCAAAACAACTCCTCAATGAAGTCTTCCCTCTCAAATGACGTTGAGGTATCCTAAGTTGACGGTTAAAGCTGACTAGCAGAGTAATACTACAAAGGAAGCAACACGATGGAATAAAGGGCATACAGGCAAAGACTTTGGCAAAGGGTAGGGTTCAATGTGTTCCAGAGTCAGAGAGACCAGTGGGATGGAACTGCAATAAAATGGCAGATGATTAGGAGGTGGCCTCTAAGAGATCATTAGAGCCAAGATCTCCGTGGATAATTCAGGGTAGGACAAGACCATCAATTCTAGTGTGAGCGGTGTGGAAAGTGCCAGAGGGTGTTGGGTGAAGAAGTGTAATGTACCTGAGTCATATTTTAAAGTTCCCAGAACTTGATGAGTGAATGGCTACTTGCTGAATGAAGATCTGAAGTTGTGGTTTCCATCCTGGCTATACATGGGAATCAATGAAGAGTCAGAAAAGACAGGGAAATTAAAAACGTGGTCTCTTCCTCAGGACAACTGAATTCAAGTCCTTAGAACTAAGGCCCCAGGCCCTGGCATTATTTTTACAACAAAGCAAAAGCAAAGTAAAAACCTCTCCCAGTGTCCCTAACATGCACTCAGGGTTGAGATGAGTTGCCTAGACAGTGACAGTAAATGATAACCCATGGTCAAACACATCCCATGAGTTTCTAAATAAAGTTTTATTAAAACAAAACTATTGTCATTTATCTCATTCACTTATTCATCTGTGAGAGATGGTTGCTACAATGCTGAAGTTGATTGGTTATAACAGAGAACAGGTGATCTGCAGAGCCTAAAAGACAGTAGCTATAGCTGACAGTTTCCAGACCATGCACCGGCACCTGGCTTATTGTAGGACTCCTAAAATTGGTGGTGGGTTATCAGAATCCCCACAAAATGTGACTCAAATGTGAAATCCGGTGTCCTCTCCTACTCCTATAGCTGGAGCCTGTGAGTTGTTGGGCACGCCAGATGTGACTGTAACAAATCAGGGGTGAGATCCAATGGAAAAGATCAGGGAAAAAACAGTGCCTTGCGTTGAATTTGAGTGGAGCCCAAACTGGCTGACCTCTTCTCTCTGCATATATAAGCTCATCTCCTGAACTGACAAGTTGGGATGTCACAAGAAACATGCTGGTTGCTTTTGAAACCATGGGACAGTGTCCTCCCACACAGGCGCCCGAATCATAGCCTCTGCATGTTCATAATTGTATTGTGAATTCTGTGGTCAGACCCTGCAATGGGGGCAGGGAGGATGGAAAGTCAAATTGCAGATGGTAGAGATGTTCTTGGGCAGTGTGTGAGGTCCATATCTTTGACTACGCTAAGTGCCTATGGAGCTTTCCTCATGAGGGTGATGCTGATATACACAGGGTGCAGAGTCAATGTTACTCTGGTGCTGTGATGTTCAGCCATGGCCACACGGCATCAGGATACGCATACAGGTTCAAAGAAGCAAGCCTGACGCTCGGTCCACACTCTTGGAAGTTCTCGTTTACCAGGTCTGGGATGAGGACTGCATCCCACAGTCACAATGGCCAGGGATTGTTGCAGACTCTAGATTTCCAACCTTGAGCATACCTCAGAATCCCCTGGAGGGCTTGTTAAAAATTGGTTGCTAGGATCCACCCTAGAGTTTCTGGGAGTTTGGGGTGGAACCCAGGACTCTGCCTTTCCAGGAAGTTCCCAGATGAAGCTGAGGCTGCTGGTTCCAGGACACGATGTTGAATGCTAACAAGAAAGGTTCCTCAGTAGGCTGAAGCGCTTGACTGGATTTGGGGATGTGATTCCTGTTGCCAAACCATTGCCAAGCTCGTTATCATGTATGGATGATAAGTCCATAGGCAGGACCTTAGATACTCCCTCACCCTCCCAACCCCCACCTCTACCCCCCCTACCACAGCAGGTACCATGCTGATGAATCAGGGTGAAATCAAACAGAGGCCAGGAAAACAAAGCATTTCAAAATTGAACGTCCGCAAATCTTCCTGAAAAACCTACCACAAGTAAGAACCCAATGGCATAATTATCTAACCCATGCATATAATTAGGTACTTTCCTTCTATTTGTCCCCACCCACTTCTCCCAGGCTAGCTTTGGGAGAAGGAAGGGGGCCCGACAGTCTGAGGATTCCCAACATTATGTCCTAAATTCCCCTGCTCACATAAACTTCCTAAAAAAATAGTACTTGGCTACAACGGGAGCCAAACCTCAGAGCTTCTTGTCCATCCATTAATATTTATTGGACCTTCACAATGA